TATTTCAGGATTCACTTTTCACTTGCTCATGGGTTTTTTATATAAACATTTTAAATTTATTTATATTTGATCGTCACTTTTATTTGTAAACCTATTTGAATATATCGACGAATACATTAATGTTATGAATTAATATGTTATAAATTCCTTAAACTTATATTTGCAAATGTAACTGATTTAAAGCTATCGTTAAAAAATAATTATATGTACAAGTATTGTAATTGCAAAGGTTAACATTTTTACTTTTTATACACCATAATTAGATGACAATACACATTTATTTATAATATTCATGAGTTGTTATTATTTGTTATTATATATATATAATAGTTCAATGTTATCATACAAAATTGCTAAGTTTCATTTTACAAATATGATTAGTTCTGTGTATAAGGTATTCTCCCAAGTTATTTATTTAAACAAAAAAATGGAAAAAATACAGTAATTAAAATTAATATATAGAGAATGTGTCGCGTAACTATTAGTCTTGAGCGTGATAGTATGGCTTCTAAGGATGAGGAATGTACTGGCAAATATGTAAAATATTCTGTTGAATTTGAAAACAAAATTCCTAATTTTGATCATAATACACGCGCATAACTGTGTCATAATTGCTATCAATTAAATAAATTCATAAAAATAGTAAAAAATAATTTAGATGGTTGTACAAATAATTTTTTTTATAATATACATAGTAAAGAAATAGAAAATTTGAGTTAAAAATGTGCTATTGCATCAAAATTTAGTACTGATGCAGTCCTTTATGATGAAAATATTGATAAATTATTATTCGAAAGAGGTTAATGCTATAAAGAATGTAAAAAGAAAACCGAACGTACAGACGATATGCAATCACAATTATTATTGCATATGGAATCCTCTAAAGATATAATTCCAGAAAATATAAATGTCAAGGAAAGAAGTGAAAAGCAATTACATGATGAAATATCATCTGGACAAAGTTTAACTGCTCAGGATCAACATGTTAAAGCTGGTTCTTCTGATACTAGAGATAATTCATATGCATCAACAGATAATAAACTGTATAACAAAATTAAGCACGAAAATACATCGACACAAAATCTATCATTCACAATTGAGGCTTCTGAAAATGAATTTAATTGGAAATCAGCTTCTTCACCTGAAAAAGTTAACCTTCAAGGTGAATATATTTCAATTATTAAACCTTAAATAAATGACTTAGAAACAAATCATCTTCAAAAAGAGAACACGATGATGAAGGTACAAATTGTAATTTCAATCATATGCAAAATATTGGTCATCATGATGTTAATACAAAAAAACAAGGTGATGCATGTCTTCTTAAAAAACATTCCATTTTGGATGGTCTACATGGTGAAGTTTTTGCTTGAAGAACTATGTGTAGAAGAAATACTAATATAGTAGTAACTGATCACGGAGACACTAGTAGCGTATCTGATGCTCATGTAGGTTCTAATGCTATAAACATAGGTAATAAATCCTCTGGCGTAATTTCCAGTGATTGAACTCCTATTGATACAGAATATATTTTTGCAACTCCTGATGTTGAATGTTCTACTAGTAACGCTTCATGTGATGAGAACATTTCTCATGGAAATACTAGGAATGATGCTAATAATAGTAAAACTGAAAATGATATACATGATTATGGTAAAACTGCTGACAGTAAAAAACGAAATAATGCTAAAATAATTAATGTACAATTGTCCCTGTAATTAATATTGCAGCTCACTTATATGAAGGGCATTTATGTAATGATCAAAAATTCCGGGAACCTATATTCTATTCCAATTCAGGGCTATTGATGGAAAGTTAGAAAACTTTTAAATGTGATTATTATTCCTATCTATATATTTGATACAATTAATTCCTTTACAATGATATTATCTGATCATGATAATACATAAAAATAAGTAAATTTATATACGTTGTAAATATAATCTAATACATATTCTGTAGCGTTTAATAGAAATTCAGGAACACCTGATAGTTGTGAACCTACTGGAATAAGTACATCAAGCAATTAAGAGTATATATGAATAACTAAGGCCATAGATAATACAGATGACACTGAACATGATATTGAACACGGACCCAAAGTGGAAGATAAAATAATTGCATATAAAATATATATCTTAATACTTTTAGTACTCAAATCAATTATTCTGTTATTGGTTATTCTTATAAGGGTAAACTATAACATATTTCTATTGAAAGTTGTTTATACATTTTCACATTGTATGTTGCAACCGAATTATATTTTTATAAACATTTTATTTTTTTTCAGTTCACTCCCCTATGGATGCTTTCTACTAAGAAAAAAGAAAAAAAAAATGAATGAAAAGTTACAGATGATTCTATTAGAACCTTAGGATGCAAGAAAAATGCCCATGCAATTTGCATATAGCTGTTTTGAATGTTAAACATGAAAATCAATAGAAATTTTAAAAAATAGATGAAATATGTTTGGTTAAACTATTAAATATAATATTAACTAGTAACTTTATACCAATAATTTATTATTAATTAATTTCCTTTGACCGTATTATAATGGAAATTCTAACGTAATATATTTTAAATTTATAATTATAAAAATTAAACATGTTAATGCATATTACATCAACGTAAACATAATTCTACTTTGCATTATAGTATATTTTATTACATTATTCTAAGTTATATGCATTGAATGGAATTCATTAATAATATTTTAAAATAAAAAAAACTTTTTTTTATTACTTGCATTTACAATAGAATTCATTTGTTTTCAGATGAATCAATTTGCTACATACAAGTCTTATTTTCGTTCTATATATGCGGCACAATAATAATTTTTTTGTAGCATAATTTAAAACTAACATATTTTAGTTAATAAATATAAACATAAAAATAATTGTTTTTTATAATCCAGCCAGTATTTGTCTTATTTTCTACAGTAAATTATTTTCGATATATTCTTGTTTCTAAAAAAATATAGAACACCTTGTTATAAGAAAATATGAAATGAATTCAAGTGAAAATTTAATTGTGTTTCAATGTAAATATCTTAATTAAAATAAACTACGATTAAAAAATAATCCATAAATATGATTGAAATATCTTTTAACCTACTAATACCTCGGTAGGTATAAAATATAAATAAGCATTAGTGTGAAAAACATTATAAATATAAAAACATTATATATAAAATATTTTTAATAAAATTTTAACACAATAGAAACATTAAAACATAATTTAAAAGGAATTGAAATATAGTAATAAAAATTTCGGTTCAGAAGACATATATGGTAGAAAAATATATAGAAAGCAAAAAATGTATAAGAAAATACATGTAATAGGAATTATTTTAAAATTATCATTAATAAATGAAATAAGACAATCCATGGGTATATCAAGAAAATTATTTTGCACCTCTAAATTTTTGATTTATTAAAGGAAACAGCATTTTTTTCAAAATACTTAAAAATCAGAAACAAATAGTATTATGGTTCTTGTTTAATTGTTTTTTAATCTTACCATAACCTAATTAATGCCATTTTAGATTATGTTACGAAAATTATCGAACAAAAGCTATATTATTGTTTCTCTCATTCCATTTTTTAATTTTATTCTATCGAATATATCATTCAGAATTATATAATACCACTAGAATTTTTTTAATATTTGTTCGATTATGTATATATATCTTTTCAGGCATTTCTAGTCAATATATAAAATTGAAATATTATATTACTTTACTGTACCACATGCCTTTTTAATTATAGATTATAGAAAAAGTGTGTTATCATGTTATTATTATTATATATTTTTTTAGTGTTATATAGATTATTAGAATCATTTATTATAGGTGACTTATGAATTCATAAATGAACAATGTTGGTTTCAAAATTTTAAATATGTACACATTTCATGGTTAATCTATATTTATCAGTTGTTCAAAATAATATTTACAACTTTATAATTAATATACAACAAAATTACCGAAGTTCTATCATAAATATTATTGGAACAATGTAAGGTTGTGTTAAAAAGTTAATAAATAAGATTTAAATATTAAATAGGAAAAATATAATGGTACCATTTTTATTTATTCTTATGAAAAAACAAAAATTTATTTACTATTGCTATACATAAAATTAAAAAAATAAAAATATTTAAATGTTTTATAATATATGTGATCCTGAAGAATATAATTTTATATATATGAAGTAAATGATTATTAAGAGTTTTTTTTTAAAATACTATTACAATATTAACTTATTTAGCATTATATAAATTGTGAAAATTTTAAGTATTAATTGAATATAAAAAACAGAGAACAAAAAAAATTTTCGGAATATAATATGAAATAAATAAAATAACATAAAATAATAATATGTTGGAATTCAAGTATTTCAATGTACTAATAAAACATTTATCTAATAAAATAATACATAAAAATATTATAAACTATATGACATACAGCCTAATTTGTAAGAAAATATTACATATGTAATGTGAAAAATATTATAAAATTATATTAATTATGAGTATTTATAATTGATAACTTTACGTTTACATTTATGCAAGATATATAATAAAATAGCATAACATATATAAAAATTATTTTTTATAGTTTCTTCAAGCACTATTATTATTTATAGCGATCATTATAACACAATGTAAAAATATAATATTCAATAGATATTGTTTTTTTCTTTTAAAAAATCATTTTTTTCAATTTGTATAATATTAAATTAAGAAATGAATGTAATTTACGCTTGTATTTAATTCTACATTAAGTTGTATCTAAGAATATTTGTAATGTTACTGTTTTCCTGCAATAGAATCATTATTATATTGAATCGTTAAATTAATACTTAAACTTATTATAATATTTTTGTGTATTATTCTATATATGAATTTATTAAGAGGAGTATAATATGTATTTGTTTAAATCCTTTTTTATGTACCATATATGAAATCAGTTGTTGTAGTATTATATTCCTTTGCTACAACTAATCAGAATTGTATGACATTTTATATTGCATATTTCTTGGCATATCATTGAAAATTTCAGATGATTGCATTATATTCCATTTATTATCTCTATTATTGAGCACTCTTTTTTTCCATTTTATAGCACGCAGAATGTACGAGCCATAGGGGGTGAACTAACTCATAAAAAAAATATATATTTATAATGAATTGAAAATATTATTCTTTAGATATCAATTGATTTGTTAAATTATTTTTTATTATGAATACATATATTTGATATTTTTTTTTAACCTTATATACAATAAATATAAGAAGAGATGGTACTAATAATACAAGGATTGTAATTAGAATAGATAGTTTAATATTAGATTGGCAATATTCTACTATTTGTTGTTTACTAGTTTCACTTCCTTTTTCTTGTATTATTAAATTATATTTATTTTTAATGGTTTCTACAGCATAGCAAAAATCTTTGGCGCTTTGATTTTGATTTTTATCATTCATATTATTAAGAAATGAAAAAACATTATATATAACTGAAAGTTTTTCAATATCATCATCATTTATATCTTTCTTATAAATTTCCTGTGTACCATTTTTCGCATAATTAGTATTATATATATCGATCAATTTTTCATAAAATGTTTTGACTACGCTACTATTTGTTTTTTGTTTAAAATTTTTATTGTATAGCCAGTAATAAAGATATAAACAACCCGCGCCGTTTAAAGGAATATTATTGTAATAATATATTTCAAACAAATATGGCATAGCTTGTGTGCACAATTTCTTAGGATTTTGTAAATATCCGCTAAAATCTGCTTCATTAATAATACTACACTGGGAAGTGAATGAGGCATCAATATGGTTCACTTTATCATCCATAATTTTTTTACATTGATCAAAATATTTTACAAATCCATACTAGAAAAAAATAAATTAAATTTGTAGAAAATTAATGCATGTAACAAAGCTTTATAGTATAAAGGAAAACGAAATGTACAAATATTTCAATAATAATTATATTATAACAATAAGAAGGTACAATTGATTCAGCCATATCAGATAATATTATAGATAAATGAAGATAAATTAAACAAAATAATAAATTACATTAAATCATTAATATGGACTTTTAAAAATAAAATTGTATATTTTGAATATCTATTCTACTTCTTGTTTTTACAATTGTATTATTTACACAGAAATCATCAAAAATTCTCCTAACAATTAATTTATATAGAACTTGAAATATAGAAGAATTAAGTATTAGTATATAATACATTCATTTATTTATTTTATATGGTTAATAAAGAAATATTTAATTAATTTGAAAAAAAATTGGATATTTTTTGCTAATCAGTAATATTCTTGAATTCATTTGTATAAAATTTACATAATTTTATAATGATTATAGATAAAAAATATATATATATTTATATATTTTTAGTGCGAATTTATTCTATTAACTTGTATATGTATAAAATTATCATTTTCTTTACTTTATTTCTTAGTGATGTATATTCGATAAATCGAATTAATAGAGTATATTATAAGAAATAAGCTTTTGTTTTAGGTATCAGTATGGCAATTATACATATATATATAACTATAGATGCTATAGATATGAATTAGAATAATATATATATATTATATCTATATAGATAAGACATTATTTAATCATATGTAGGAATTATGTATTACATTAAGTTATAATATAAATCAATGATATAAATATATGTATACAAAGAAAATTTTTATTTTATAGAAAATCCCTATTACAATAAATTTACATAAAAACACTATGATATAGATATAATTGTAAAAAAAAATTATGTTTATTATATTATATATATTACCGAATTTCAAATTATGTAATTCTAATTTTATACCATATATTATGTTTAGCAGTATAATTGATAATAATATAATTACAAAATATAAAAAAAACAATAAATTTACAACATAAAATATTTATTTTATTTTTAATTTTTATTGATAAAATTACTTAATATTGCTTTTAATAATTCTTCTTTTTTTTTTTTTAATTTGTGGAATTATCAAATCATTTAACTATATAATTAATCTGTGAATAATGCGAATTATATAGAAAGGAAATTAAATTAATTTTTATAGTGTTCAATATTAAGGTTTCATGGTTTATGTTTTAGCGTTTAATGTTTATGCTTTAGGGTCAGGGTTTAAGGTTAAGTTTTTACACTATCATCTGATAATTAACAATTTTTTTTTATTGCTGTTGTAAGCAATGTTATATTTTTTTTCATAATTTCCCATACTACGTTGTTTTATATCAATATTATATGCTTTACCTCGGAGGTATTCTGAATTATCTTGATATATATTTTTTTTTATATACGAGCCTCTTCTACGGACATATCTAATTGTATCAGATACAGTAGTAGAATTAAGAGTATTAGTTTATGGATCAAAGGGTGTATGACCTGGAGTATGTGTAATTAGAATAGATCTATTAGCAGATATCAGAGACTTATTGTCCTTAATACTAATCCGTTGACTACTTGAGGATAAATTTTTCCCAATTGCATCATTAAAAATTATACTATAAATATGTATTGATAATAGTTTTTACACTCTCATTAATTACACTAAAATGTGTTCTCGTTCAGGAACAGCATCTGTAATTTATTCGGAATCTGGTGATTTACCAGCAGGAATTGACGCATCTAAATTTTCTAT